ATGTATGTATGTATGTATGTGTGTGTGTATGTATAAGAGATAAAGAAATAGAGAGATGGCGAAATGAATGGATGGAAGGATGACAGGATGGCACGATGAAACGATAGAAGGATAGGAGGATAGAAGGAAAGAAGGATGAAAGGATAGAAGGATAGAAGGAAAGAAGGATGAAAGGATAGATGGGTAGAAGGATGAAAGGATAGATGGATTGATGAATGGAAGGAGGAATAGACAGATGGATAGATAGATAGATGGATAGATGGACAGATGGATAGATAGATAAGCGGATAGACGGATAGATGGATAGACAGCTAGATGGATAAATAGATAGATGGATAAATGGATAGATGGATCCATGAATAGATGGATAGATGGATAGATGTATAGATGAATAGATGGATGGATGAATAGATGAATAGATGGATAGATAGATGGATAGATGGATAGATGGATAGATGGATAGGTGGGTAGATGGATAGATGGATGGATGGATGGATAGATGTATAGATGGATAGATAGATAGGTGGATAGATGGATAAATGGATAAATGGATAGATGGATAGATGGATAGATGGATAGATGGATAGATGGGAAGACGTATAGACGGATAGACGGATAGATGGATAGATAGATAGATGGAGAGATGGATAGGTAGATAGATGTATAGATGAATAGATGGATTGATGGATAGATGAATAGATGGGTAGATGGATGAAAAAATGGACGGATGAATGGACAGATGGATAGATAGAGAGGCGGATAGGCGGATAGACGGATAGACGGCTAGATGGATAGACGGATAGATAGATAGATGAATAGATGGATAGATGGATAGATGTATAGATGAATAGATGGATGGATGGATAGATGAATAGATGGATAGATGGATGGATAGATGGATAGATGGATAGATGGATAAGTGGATAAATGGATAGATGGATGGATGGATAGATGTATAGATGGATAGATAGATAGGTGGATAGATGGATAGATGGATAAATGGATAGATGTATTGAGGATAGATGAATAGATGGATGGGTTAATAGAGGGATAGATGAATTGATTGCTAAATAGATGAAGGATAAATAGCGAGATAGATTGATAGATAGAAAGATAAATAGATATATAGATAGATGTACAAAGTAGCTCTGCTAACCTGCGGTCCCATGTAGAGGCTGAATATCGGTCCGTACTGTTCACCCAGCTGCTTGAGGTAACGTCCCCCATGTTTGCCCACCAGCGAGAAAAGGGAGCCAAGGACGGGCCAGCCGCGGGGTCCGGGCGGCGCTCCACGCGGTCGCTTCACGTAGTACGACGACACGAGAGCCGTGACGACGACCAACACGACGCTGACGATGTTGCTGCCAAGAAACTGCAGCAGCTGCGCGAAGGCGCTGGCTACGGTGCCGACCATTGTCGCCACACGTGCGCTGACAGCCTAGTAACACACACGGATGCGCGCCCGGTCCGGTGGGATGAGATATGATGCGATGTGAGGAAATAGGATAGAATATGATAGGCTTTTATGGGATAGGATACGAGAGTATAGAAAAAGATAGGATATGATAGGATAAGATAGGATACGATAGGATAGGATAGGTTTGAATAGGTTTGAATAAAGTTAGGATAGGGGAGGATTAACTTAGGATGAGGTTAGCATAGGATAGCAATTAAATAGTACACTTGGAGCGAGGTGTTACTGAGTTGTCACACCGCTTGTTATAAATCGACTGTAAATGGACTGTTATGCTATTAGCAGACTCCTACGTCGTAGTGGCGATGCAATGACCATTGGTCTCGTGCGTGCGTAGAGATATAGCAAATGTCAACAAGTAAATTTGGGTCACATTCTAACTTGATATTCAGCCAATGACGAGGAACGTTGACCTAGCATTATCCTTGGATACACGTCACAGATTTAACGTTCAGTTCCTTGTAGCTACAGTAGCGTGTCTTCTTTTACTGGCATTTCACCATACGTTGTCATCATCTAGAATGTAACACTGACTAAAGCAGCAGCAAAATGCGTTAATTAAATTTGCTCCTCTTCACCCATCCCGAAATGGACGTGAGCGTCTTTCCTCCTTGCTCTTTCTCGTGCGAGACTGCCTTGCATAGACTTACCCTCGGCACTTATCCGCTGCTATCTCTGTGTACACCAGCATTCTAACCAAGCACTCGATCAGTATTACTCGGTGCAAATGCTTACTCAATGATAGAATACATAAGTAAACATGATACTAAGTAACAAGCATACATGATCGATTATTCTGATGATTGCTGTCGGTATGTAGTAACTATTTTGCCAATTTTCTTGGTGATTTCCTGCACTAAACCTAACGAGAAAAAAATATTGCAAATTACAAGATAGTTCAGTTATGCATTTGAACATTTCTCACACAAATTAAATTGCTGCCACAATTTAATCAGTTTGAATTTAAACATGGAAGTTTAATTGCCACCAAACTTAAAGAGTAAACATTACTAATAATTACAAAATTATTGAATTTCGCTCTCTAATGTTTCGTACACAAATTGAATTTGTACTACAATCATGAATATAATGAAGTGTAATCACGTGATTTAATCAAGTGCGTAAAAACTACGACTACAGTAGTTTGAATTGAAAGATAAAAGTTTTATTAACACTAAACATAAATAAAGAATATTATTGCTAATTGCAAGATTATTGAAGTACGCCCCCTGACATTTATTACACAAATTATATTGCTGCTACAATAAGCCATATAGGAAAGTCCCCGCCGCCATATTGAGATCAGATAAGAGGGGGTATAACATGGGTAGGATAGGGCTATTCTAGGTTTTTTATCTATAATTCTCCTCACTTACATCGTACTTCAATTCACAGAGGCGTTTCTGTTTACATAAACATTTACAAATATGTTTGTGGTCATTTAGGATATTTTGCAATGTTTGTGTTAATGCAAAAACTAAAAATGCACGAATGTTTACATTAATCATGTACTTTCCTAAGCGCGCCTCGGCCATTTTATACCCCCTTTTTCGGTGACCTAATTATCACAGCTGGACTTTCCGATCTCACTTATTTTATCAGCAAAATATCTCCTTAAAGCCTTCTAACAAAAGCTTAATGACATGTTTTAATCTCAAGTAACACGGGCAAGATAACGCAATTTAATCACAGGTTTTTTTAATTACATGTATAATAATAATTTTCGGGTGCCTACTCGGCTACTGGCCTAGTGGGCTAGTGAAGAGATTCACAGTTTTCACTGGCGGGTGCCGCCGCATACAAGGCTCTCTTCTTCGCACAAGGAGGTACAATTACAGGTAAAACATAGGATAACTCAATTTAATCAGAAGTTAAAGTAAAAACGTAGGGTAAGGCAGTTTAGTTACAGGTTAAAACGTAAGATAATGCAGATTCATCGCAAGCGTTTTACCACAGGTTTATCACTCGTACGACGTTGTTTTTTGAAATGTTACAAGTTTTTTAAATCATTGCGGCTCCTGGCAGATTCCTCTATACAAACAATCCTAAAAAAAACTCCTTTTGCATACCATTCTGGCATCTACCACCTTAAATAGCT